CCACACCACTCATCATGTTTGTTGCTCTTCCCCATACCTTATCCAGATTTACTGTATCCTAGAGATGAGGGACATAAACTGCGCACCGTGTTGGTGAAAGAGGTGTACATGGTGGGAGAAGGAGTGGGTTACAAGCAGGAAAGGGACAGAGCTGAAGGTTCCTTTGTAAAACAGGATTCTTTTCCTATTTCTGCTGCAATCATTTTATACAGCTCTGGTCTTATCACTTAGAATAAGCTTTTTACAAGTGATCACTATTTTTACATGATACATTTTCTGAGTATCTAACGTGAGAACTGAAGCCAGATCTTAATCAGTGCTGAATTCTAACAAGTACCTCCTGGTTGTGCTTTCCATGTAGAGGAGGCTATAAACAGTACTCTGAAAAAACAGTCCCTAGATGTCTCAAGACAGACACTCAAAATGGATAGCTACTGTTGACAATTTTGGCTCTAATCTTTGTACATTGATGGTAAGGAGAACACAGCTTAAAAACGCCCATTTGGAAATGAACAGCTCTTTATTGATGGCAGGCTCTGAACAACACACCCCGAATATGGCATAGGGCCACATCAAATGGGGATAACAAAAAGAAATAATAATCACTCATTCGCTGAATGCAGCAGAGGGCCTGTAGAAAATTTAATAAAGGGTCTCATAAGGCTGTATTACAATGCCCTAGCTCAAAACTGTACAGGCAGTCTTAATGCCTGATCTGTCAGAGCCTGTCCTGGCAACTCATACCCTCTTTAGATGCAAAAGATTATATAGGTTAAATAGCAACAAATGAACAGTGGGAGGGAGGTCTTTTGGGAACAGCCTGAAATACTTTCTTTGTTTCTTTTCCTGGCTGAGGGCGTGCAGTAATCATGACACAGCCTCGTGTTTGAAATCCTCTTGATGCCCAGGACCCAAGGCACGACCCACCGACCAGTGGGCTATGGCAGCAGCTCAGGCCAGCTGTGCCAGAGCAGCCCAGCTCCTGCCTGCCAGGAATCAACCAGGTGCTGGGGAAAAATACCTCCCTGCACTTGGTTAATACCTGCCATTCACTTCTGGTTTAAAAAAAAAACCACAAAACCACCACCATTGAAAACCACATATAGAATACACGGAGAGATTTTTAAAAACTACAGTTCAAATCCTATCCACACTGGGTGAAACTCTGGCCCTGCTGAAGTCAGGAACATCCACATGCCAAGATATCACCTCTGCTTTTTATTTGTGTTTGTGCACGCATGTTTATCTCTCTGCCTGCCTTTCTCTCCTGCCTGTGGCTTTGTTCATTAAACTTATTATTTTGCGCTTTTTTTCCAGTTTGTGGGAAGTTCTTTTTAATCATGTGCTGATATCTGTTTCATTTGTAGGATTTTTTCTCTTAGGATAAAGAATAATAGTTTGATTTGTGACACTGTGAGCCCTTAGGTACCAAAAGTTTATTGCTTGGGTTTTTTTCTAACTTGGTATCTGGCTGTGACAGGTAGAGGTATAGAATATACTCAGGCCATAGGAAAAAGGCTTTGTGGGTGAGTGCTCTCAAGCCCTCAGGTCTTTCTCTAAAATCTCAGATTGTCAACTGTGCTATGGCTTGTCAATGAGACAGATGCCCCAACCTTGAAAGTGATGGAAAAATGAACAGAAAGGAAATAGAATAATCTAGGCAGGTGGCAAATAAGCTACCCACAAGTATCGAACCTCAAGGAAAACGCATACTAACTTACAACATTACACTATGTAGATAAAACAAGATTTACAGAATGCTAATTTTTCTCATCAACATATTACAGAGTACAGAGGCAATGCTAGAAACAGTGACAACCTTTGTGTCTACGTCCCTACTTGTCTCACAGAGAGCATCCTCTTAAACTTAATGGAAATGTAAATATAAAACGTTCACTGCAATAAAAGTCTCCGGAGATAGAGCCTAAGTAGCATGATTAGTATGGAAAATGCTTCATAAATCCTAACTCCAATAATCTCTGGTAGCATAAAGGATTCATCTCATTATGACTTTCTAACAGAGCCTTGTTAATTCTCACTTCACTAATCTGCGACCTTGAAAATTCCCTCTCCACATTTCAGTAAAGTGTTGACAGCCCCGTGAAACAGGGAGGTATTCCAGCAAGGGCCACAGGTGATGGAATATATTCCAAAACACTCACTTGTTTTTTATAAAATACTGTGCCTGACTAAATTAAATGAAATAACAAGCCTTTGATAAATCATCATCCAGCATTTTTGTTTTAGCTTTTTAAATCAAATATCATAATCTATCAATTAATTTATTAAATAGGATTTTTTACAAGGCTGCTCCCAGTCAATTACAGGAATAAAAAGGGGTCTGCCTTATGAGTATTTCTCCTGACATATCCCTGAGACAAAGTATCTAATTTTGGAACTAGTTCCTACTAGCTGTAAGCTTTTCAGACTGCTATTAACAATAAAAATCTTGAAGTGCATACACACACACATATATAAGTATATATATAGACAAACACGTTAGTACAGACTTGTAGGCATACATCTGGTAACACTAATGTGGTTGTGTAATTTACTAAAGACTTGCACAAACATAACTCTGGTTAAGAAGACAAAATGACAGAACACAAGAAATTCTGCCCAATTTTGCCAGGCTTGAGAGCTGGCTTTGCCTCTACTTCCCTTGAATGTATTTTGAAAAACATTTTAAACCTTTCCAAATGTAAATATACCTTAAAGAATGATCCTTGTTTCCAACACTAGGCAGACAGCAACTTATGCAATTTCCTACCAAAAAGGGACGACCGATCATAATTAGCTATTAAGATCTGAGTTGTTAATCACTACCATAGCTATAAAGTATTTGTTTGCCATTATGCAACAACCACCACTATCAAATAAAACTACACTGTATTACTGGCTGTGAAATGCAGTAAAATTTTGATGCAAAATGGATTAGTGCAGATGACATCATCGTGTTCCACATCTAATTCTCTTTTGTTATTAATTTTACAACATCTCTGGCAATAGTACTATTTCATTACTGCAAACTATAGTCATGTTTTATCAATACAGCCCTCCAAAAGGGCTCAAATAGAGACACATTTCAAAACATACTCCTTTATCCTCCTCCCTGTGTGGTTTACCAGCGAGCACATTGACACATGAGATACCAGTGTGCCTGACTGCCTCTGAGATCTGACATGAAGGAGAGAGGAGCAGCATACAGGGGCAGCTTAGAGCCACGGCAAGTCCTTGGTGAAGATGGCAGCAGTGGCTTGCCCTTTAAAACTGCTGTGCAGGACCATGTGCTGGCTTTCTGTACGACACTTTCAGAGAAAACACTCCTCATACCCTCAGGCTGCTTCTATCCAACTTGTCTGCACTCTCATGTGGAGGAGCCACCATTACCTCTCTCTAATCCTCAGCAGCGGAGCTCTGTCAGTGGGATGCCCATGGGGAGACCAGGGAAAGGGCAGAAAGGTAAGAATTTATTTCAGATTTCAAAACACCGATGATACCAAGCTGTTTGGAAAGGTAGACACGCTGGAGGGGAGGGATGCCATCCAGAGGGACCTGGACAGGCTTGAGAGGTGGGCCCAAGCCAACCTCATGAAGTTCCACAAGGCCAAGTGCAAAGTCTTACACCTGGGTTGGGGCAAACCCAAGCACAAATACAGGCTCGGCGGGGAATGGCTGGAGAGCAGTCCTGAGGAGAAGGACCTGGGTGTGCTGACTGACGAGAAGCTCAACATGAGCCAGCAATGTGTGATCACAGCCCAGAAGACCAACTGTATCCTGGCCTGCATCAAAAGAAGTGTGGCCAGCAGGTGGAGGGAGGTGATTCTGTCCCTCTACTCCACTCTTGTGAGACCCCATCTGGAGTACTTCATCCAGCTCTGGAGTCCCCAACATAAGAAGGACGTGGACCTGCTGGAGCGTGTCCAGAGGAGGGCCATCAGGATGACCAGAGGGCTGGAGCACCTCTCCTATGAGGAAAGGCTGAGAGAGTTGGGGTTGTTCAGCCTGGAGAAGAGAAGGCTCCGGGGAGACCTTATT